CAATGTTTATAAAATTTACTTAAATATAATTTAATTTAAAATAAATTAGTTTTTTAAGTTTTTTTAAATAATAGATTATTGAAGGATTATAATTGATAGCAAGATCTTTTAAAGAATATAAAAGTTTAATAAAAAAATATATAGATTTTAATAAGTAAGAATTTTATAACAAAAACTTTAAAATAAATTCAAAAGTTTTTTTATTAATTTTAAATTTAAAAAATGAAATATATCTTTAATAATTAGATAAATTAAATAATTGATTATTGTATTTTTTAAAAGCAATAAAAATTGTTTATTATTAAAATTAAAATCAATATTTTTTAATTGAAATTTATTATATAAACCAACAATTAAAAATAAAATATTAAATTTATATTTTGTAGAAATAGAATTATGTATGGATTTAATATTATTTAAACTTATGTAATTTTTAAATTATTTTGTAAATTGGAAGAAAATGATTTTCCAATATATGAATTATAATCATATAATTATTTTATAATTATCAAATAATTGTAAATCAAATATTATATAAAATTGATACAATAAAATTTTTTTATAATAAGGAATAAAAGTTATATAAATTTAATAAAGAAAAAAGTTTTTTTTTAAGATTTAAGAAAGTATAATAAAAATTAAAATTTAAAATATAAGATAAGAAATATTTAAAGATTTCAAATTAAAAAATCAAATATAAATATTATTATATAATTATCTTAATAATTAATTATTTAATATTGATAAACTTTTTTTATATGAAAGTTTTTAATATAAGTTTTAAAATAAATTTGTATTTATTAAATAATATTATTCCTTAAACCATTAAGCAGGCAAATTTGCCCACTTAAATTATTTTTGATCTGCTTTTGTATAACTATAAAAGATTTTTATAAGCATATCCCCCCTCTTTTTTATGCAAATATCTGAATGTGCTATATTGCCGATCACCCCATAATTCCCTTCCCACAGTTCTTCTAACAAAAATCTAAAATTTCACCCTTCAAAAATAACTTCCAGGATTATGGGATTATGTCCTCTTTGACTAGACTGAACGTATTACTTTCAAGTTCAACTTTAAGTTCGTTTCCTCTCAAAAATATAAAAGTGCATACCATCGATGATGAAGAGTATGTTTCACTCTTGACATCTTGCCAACATTCTTTGGAAAATTTAGAATCAGACTTTGAGAATAAGAAAGAGGACACCACAAGTGTTCGTAGAGGTAGATACAGAGCAACGGTACAACTATCACCACCTCCTCATAATTTTGATTATTTTATTCATCCAAGATCACTGCATCACGCCTTTGTAAATTTGCTACCACAATATGAGGCCAACTTTTCAAAACCAATCAATCTTTTCCTTCTTTTTTTTATGAACAATATTTTTGACA